GGTTCTACTCGGAAGATCAGTGGCCATAATTTTATTTCTGATGGGCATTTTGTGCCCACAAATGTCGCGATAACAGATTCGGTTGGTACCCTCTGGTTGTCGACTAGGCGATTACACCGGTAAATTGAAATTACGCCTGCTCCAGAGAGCCTGTCTAGGGTCTCAGCTGGACTCAGCTTGGAGTCGACTCCCCGTACAAGGCCTTTGGTACATGCAAGGTGAGGCGGAATGAAAGCACTCACCGGGGTAGCAGCAAAGGAGGTGCATTTGAGAAGATCCTGCACGCAGGTCTGATCAGGCGACCTACACACGATACCTCCTCGCCCAAATGGGCGCACATCTGTGATGGTCTGGAATTGATTTGAAGTTGTCTTGAGTTCCTTTTGAACCACCTGAGGGTTTGAAAGTCTGATGAAGCCTCCATTTGTAGGTACCAGTGCTACGGGAATGCTGTCGATACCACTGCGGAAAAAGGAGTCTAGTGGTAATTCATTAGACGGCAAGGACGCTGACCAGGCGGATCGCGCCTGGCCAGGAGAACTAGTCGACATGAGCACTAGAGATATGGTTAGACTCAGAACAAACTAGAGTCGGACTCTAAGACAGAAATTTAAAACCACTCAATCCTCAGCCAAGAACACCCCAGTAGGTTGAGCGCGGCACCAGCTACTGCAGGAACGGTCGTGGTTCCAGATGCGGGCGTCGAATCCTGGTAGCCAGGAAGAACAAGCACCGGGCGCACCGAGCTTCTTCTAATTTCTAAGCTTTTCTCGATTCCTCGTGGCGCGCGAATCACGAGCCACGCGGTTTTCTTCTTTTTTAGCGCGGAGGTTGTCCAAGACCTGTGCTCGCTGCATTATATACCATCATTTGTCGAGAGAATGGAAAATAAATTCAGCTTAGATTGTCATTTTTTGCAAAAAAAAGTGTTAGGCTACACGTGATGGGGGAACGGGAGGAAACATAAAGATGATGGGCTTTAAGAGTAATGCGCACTCCTGAGTCGCAACCCTACAAATCATTTTCAACAGCAGTCGTGGCCGAGTGGTTAAGGCGATGGTCTCGAAAACCATTGGGGTTTCCCCACGCGGGTTCGAATCCCGCCGACTGCGTGCATATTTTTTTTTCTCAATTTTACCGCTTGTCAGCGTGTTTCTAATATAGCAGGGTGTGACGCCTTAGCCTGGCCTGCATAACCCATTTATTTTAATTATCTTCTATAACCAAGCCATTGGGACGGATGGATGGAAACAAATTATTTGAAAGTACTTCAATGTTTAAACATTGGCTGAGGACTTTCATGAAGGGTTCGCAAGGGCTTGACTTGTCATCACTTGTCGGGACGGCGTGAGTGTGGAGACATGGACAGAGATCTAACAATAGCGGCCACCCTCAACCAGTGAGACACGGAAGAGAAGCTCCGTCGTGTCTAATTTATCTGGAAGACGCGGCAAGAACCTGGTTGAAGAACGGGAGTCTACACTTTAGACCTGAGATCTCTTACGGGGCATATTCATGGGCACGTTCAGGAGCATCACCAGAAAGGAAAGAGCCGCGACATTACTGAAGACGAGGGTGTATCCCAAAATATGTGGTTATCTTCGCGTGAGAAATGAATCGAATCTTCCTTCACGCCGCCACCGAAATGCCAGAAGACAAAGTTCGCATCCTCATGCTAGGAGTAGACAAAAACACTTCACCAGGATGACTAGGGGTCTGCCAAAGACCGTCGCCAAATTAATTTCAGAGGCATCTACTTTAGAGAAAGCACTGGAGATGCGGACACGGCAGTACAACCGCAATTCCTCGTCTACAAGATATCTTGCCATCCAAGTGCTAAGAACCACCAACCTTCGTGAGAGGATTCGAGTGATCGTGCAAGAAGAGCTGTGCCACTTTCTTACTTCAGGGCAGCCTCACGTGGAATCCATCGCGGACGTCGAACGCCACGAGATTCAGCAATTGCTGGCCGTTCCTCAGCTTTCAGAGCCGCTGCAACAAGCCATGAGCTATGCTGCTGCAGCCCGCCATCATGGCCCTCCTCAACGCCCACGCCAAAACGTCGCCCTTCGCACTTCCATCGCCAGACGCCACCGCCACCACCTAAACACCAACGTCCTACCGTTTGCAAGTGGGACAGCGCAGAGTGCCGAGGAAAACCAATGTTTCGCGTGCCCCAGACAACCACTCGCTCTGCTACCATTGCAGAGAGGCCGGGCACACATAACGTCATTGCCAATAAAGACAGACGGATTTTCGGGGTTTCGACATCAGCCCGCAGTGTTCAAAATGGAGTGAACAGCCTCATCACATTACCGAATACCTCGCAGGAGCACAGTTGACACTCTGACGACCATATCGTTCGCCATCGCGCGGTCGCTCTACCCCACCGCACCGCGGGCAGTACACCGGTCTTGGTAGGGTACGATCTCCCAGCCCTTACACGGAAAACTAAGGGCAGCAACCGATGGTGGTGCGTTTGCTTTACGATGAACTACCAAAGATGTTCTGTCGTCAACGGCGACGACACCTCAAGGTAATCGAAAGCACTCGCCGCAAGACAAAAACGGTCTTGACGTCGAACCTTCGTGGCCGACAGAAGACGTGACGACGCAACATGGAAGCAGTGGAGCAAGTAGACCTAGCCGTGATCCTACGCAACTATTCAAACGCATGCACGAGGAGGAACCAGTGAACTCGACCTAATATTTGACGGCCACAACGTCACTGCACTGGTCAACACTAGGGCCAACTAATCAGACGTCATTGGGTCTTTCGCGACGAAGTTAAAAAAATTGAAGACTGCTTGGCAAGGCCCTGAATTCAGAACCGCTGGGGGTCATATAAGAACGTTGGCTGTTGTTTGCAAAGCAGTAATCTTCATCAATAACCAGATTTATCCCGCAATCTTTCTAATTCTACAGCTTCACACCAGGGATGTGATACTTGGGATAGAATTCTTAAGTCAGCAAGGTGGCGTCATCGACCCAAAATCTGAGGCATTAACGACATTTACAGAAACAGTACTGCGGCCCCACACGCCGTCAGGAAGGCGCGCTTTGAATGCGCTGGAACAAACTCATCGTTCGCTCTCACTCCAGGGTCAGCATTTCCGTCAGCACTCAAGAATCAACAGACATGAAAGGCGTCAAGAATCAACAGACATGAAGGATACCAGCACCTGTTCATTCACCACGATATTTGCGCCGCCAGAGAATGGTCGAGCTGCGGAAGATAACGTGCCAGTGATGCTCACCAAGCACACTTAAATACTGGCTGAGCGTGAGCGCCCTCCCTAAAAAGCCGCAGGAGCTGCCATTTCTGCCCAGACGCGATCGCCAATTGACGGCGAAACACCGCAACAGGCTGCACCTTGTTTTTTATCGTGTAGCCGTGCCAGGTGCGAAACGGTGTTCCCAAAGGAGGACACGCAGTAGACCTGATTTCTCCGAACTTAGCTCGCGGTTGCGCCATCTTAGAGCGGCATCACAAAACACTAATAATACGTTTATTAGTGGGCGTATGGTTCAGCACGTGGAGTGACCATTTGCTAGCTGCTTATCGGGAGTTGGGGAGAGGGATGCAAGACGTGTCCCTAGTCCTGTAATGGAGGCTATAAGAAGTTTCGTAACTCATGAGATCGAATAACTCTGGACCCCGCTTGTGTGAACGTCCATTGCTTTGTGGTCGCCAGTCGGAAATGGTCACTCGACAACTGCTATTTCCCGTTGGGAATCAATGTTCATCGCTTTCTTTCTCTTTGACTGCGTAGCTATTCGTTGCTACTGCACCCTCGTCATGAAGAAAGGCCCTCGCGAAAACACACGTTGCGCCCCCCCCCTCGCAACCTAAATTTTTTTTCGTGTTCGCCAAGCATAAATATGCCAATGACGTGTGACGTAAACGTGTGGCGCAAAACTTTTTTTACTATTGTTAAAATATGAAAGGCGATACGGCAGCCCAAGACGCCGTACCGTGGTCGTGCTTTTATTTGGAACACGGGAGTATGCAAAGTCGCAGCTGCCGCATTCAGTCAATCCTGAAGCTAAGCTGTTCTCGATTCCTCGTGGCGCGCGAATCACGAGCCACGCGGTTTTCTTCTTTTTTAGCGCGGAGGTTGTCCAAGACCTGTGCTCGCTGCATTATATACCATCATTTGTCGAGAGAATGGAAAATGAATTCAGCTTAGGTTGTGATTTTTTGCAAAAAAAAGTGTTAGGCTACACGTGATGGGGGAACGGGAGGAAACATAAAGATGATGGGCTTTAAGAGTAATGCGCACTCCTGGGTCGCAACCCTACAAATCATTTTCAACAGCAGTCGTGGCCGAGTGGTTAAGGCGATGGTCTCGAAAATCATTGGGGTTTCCCCACGCGGGTTCGAATCCCGCCGACTGCGTGCATATTTTTTTTCTCAATTTTACCGCTTGTCAGGGTGTTTCTAATATAGCAGGGTGTGACGCCTTAGCCGGGCCTGCATAGCACATTTATTTTAATTATCTTCTATATTGAAGCCTTGGGGACGGATGGATGGAAACAAAAATATTTGAAAGTCCTTCAATGTTTAAACATTGGCTGAGGACTTTCATGAAGGGTTCGCAAAGGCTTGGCTTGTCATCACTTGTCGGGACGGCGTGAGTGTGGAGACATGGACAGAGATCTAACACTAGCGGCCACCCTCAACCTGTGAGACAGGAAAGAGAAGCTCCGTCGTGTCTACTTTTATCTGGAAGACGCGGCAAATACCTGGTTGAAGAATCGGGAGTCTACTCTTTAGACCTGGGATCTCTTACGGGGCATATTCATGGGCACGTTCAAGAGCATCACCAGAAAGGAAAGAGCCGCGACATTACTGAAGACGAGGGTGCAAATCCCAAAAGAATATGTGGTTATCTTCGCGGGAGAAATGAATCCAATCTTTCTTCACGCCGCCACCGAAATGCCGGAAGACAACAAAGTTCGCATTCTCATGCTAGGAGTAGACAAGAACATTTCGCCGGGATGATCAGGAATCTGCCAAAGACGGTCGCCAAATTTATTTCAGAGGCATCTAGCTCAGAGAAAGCACTTGAGATGCAGACAGGGCAGTACAACCGCAATTCCTCGTCTACCAGATATCCCGCCATCCAAGTGCTAAGAACCAGCAACCTTCGTGACAAGATCCGAGCGATTAAGCAAAAAGAGCTGTGCCACTTTCTTCCTTCAGGGCAGCCTCACGTGGACTCTATCGCGGACGTCGAACGCCAGGAAATCCAGCAATCGCTGGCCGTTCCTCATTTTCCAGAGCCGCAGCAACAAGCCATGAGCTATGCTGCTGCAGCCCGCCGTCAAGCTACTCCTCCACGCCCACGCCAAGACGTCGCCCCTTCGCACTTCCATCGCCAGACGCCATCGCCGCCACCTAAACAACAACGTCCTACCGTTTGCAAGCGGGACAGCGCAGAGTGCCCAGGAAAACCGATGTTTCGCGTGCCCCTGACAACCACTAGCTCTGCTACCATTGCAGAGAGGCCGGGCACACATAACGTTATTGCCAATAAAGAGAGACGGATCTTCGGGGTTTCGACATCAGCCCGCCGTGTCCAAAATGGAGTGAACGACCTCATCACAATACCGAATACCGTATCGTGGTCGTGCTCTTATTTGGGATGCGGGAGTATGCAAAGTCGCAGCGGCCGCATTCAGTCAATCCTGGAGCTAAGCTGTTCTCGATTCCTCGTGGCTCGCGAATCACGAGCCACGCGGTTTTCTTCTTTTTTAGCGCGGCACATGGCCAAGACCTGTGCGCGCTGCATTATATACCATCATTTGTCGAGAGAATTAAAAATAAATTCAGCTTAGGTTCTGATTTTTTGCAAAAAAAAGTGTTAGGCTACACGTGATGGGGGAACGGGAGGAAACATAAAGATGATGGGCTTTAAGAGTAATGCGCACTTCTGAGTCGCAACCCTACGAATCTTTTTTCAACAGCAGTCGTGGAGAGGAAGAAGAAGCCGCACCGATCGGCTGCGTTTCAAATTGCTTTCTGCTGGTAACAGCGTATCGGCCAACGGCCGAAGATCATCGACTCTGTTTCATGATGAAGACTCAAGCTATAAAGTCGTCCTGCCACGTCTTCCAACCGGTAACGATGTTTTGAATTCCGTTTTCCTTCATGCCGACTTGTGTGGTAGGCCGTACCGTGCCCCAGACTTCCGTGACGCGCTGCTTAAAGCGATGAGCACAGCGGACATTATGGGAGTTGGCCAGTATCAAATGAGCCATTATGGATGGTTACGTGTGCAAACAGCATGGCGAAACAGAAACTCGTCACTTGTGGTGAGCTCCGTGTAAAAGGGCTGAAGTGCATGGTGCTAGATCCGGAGACCAATAATATTAGGCTGAAACTACTTTGGCTTCCGCCTCATCTCGGATCGCGACGTGTTGAAGAGGCGTTCAAAGCTTACGGCGTTGTGAAGTCTGTTGAAAGAGAGGCATGGAGATGTGCAGGAATTGAACAATGGATGACAACGAATAGAGACGTTGCCTTGGAGCTCAAGGACACCATCACTGTGAGCTCAATACCACACCTTATGTCAATCTATGGCCACCAATGTCTCGTACTTATTCCCGATAGGCCTCCACTGTGTCTTCGGTGCAAGCGAGTGGGGCATGTACGACGACAGTGCAAAACACCGAGGTGCTTGCAGTGCCAGCGTTTTGGTCACTCGTCGGATGCCTGCGTGTCGACTTACGCCAACAAACTCCGTTCTGGCCAAGGCACAGAAGACCAATGTCTCGATCATCTTATGGATGTCACTGAGGTAGTTGATGCGACAGGAGAAGCAGCGGGAGGAGCAGAAGGTGCCTTAAAGGAAGCGGAACACTTGTCCATGGATACCCTTGGCACGCAAAATAACACCGCTAACGACGCCAGTGAAAGCATAAATGAATGCAATGCTGCTGACGAACACCACTTGGAAGGCCTTAAGGACAAGCCTCGTGACAATGAGGAACAAGGAGGAATGGATTGCAGTCAGACAAGGAAGCGTCAGGCACCGGTCACCGATGAAGCAAGAACGAGTGCGCCCGACACGACAGAGCAAGCGTCTTCGTGTGGTCCACTTGTCACCTTCTTTGGGGACTGGGAGACGCGCCGGCTATGCCAGCGTCCTGAGGAAAGTGCTCCTAAAAAGTGCAAAGGAGGTAAAGCCACAAGTTGGCCTGTGGCTAAAGGTGACCTACAAAAGTAGTAAGATATCAAAATGGCTACCACGCTAACGTTTCCCATGTGCGTAGCGACACTCAACGTACGTGGCTTGAGGAATGTAAGGCGTCAGTGGCAGTTGCGCCACGTGCTTGAGCAGTACAACATTGATGTACTTGCAGTGCAAGAGACTAAGATTTCCGCTGCTCGTGACGCCGATCTTGCACTGGAAGTTTTTCGTGATTACAATTTATACATCAGCCCAGCACGTGGTGCATCCGCTGAATGCTTTCTAATAATTTGAAAGCACTTCAATCATATTGTGACGTCACTACATGTTGATGGGGAAGGACGCTTCATTTGTTGCGACTTATCTTTTCATTCCCAAAATTGGAGGTTTATCTGTGTCTATGCTCACTCCAAAGTGAATGAAAGGAATTCTTTTTCCTTTCTTTACCTTCGCTACTAAACACTGACAGAACTTTGGTAGTTTCTGGAGACTTTAGTTGTGTTTGTGACGCTAGAGATCATTCATATATAACAAATCGTTATGATGCAAGTGCAGCCGTATTGCAGAAACTATTGAATGACCACAATTTAATAGATGTGGGAGCGCATGCACCTTCCTCGGTGAGGTTCACGCACTTTCAAGGCATCTCTCATGCTCGGCTTGACTGTGTATATGTATCTCTAAGCTTATGGTCTCACATTCATAATTATGCTGTAAAGCCCATATTTTTTACAGACCATTGCTTGGTCACCGTTTCTTGGGGTCCTAAAAATTTTCGTAAACTTATGGAAGCTTAACGTACAGTTGTTGCGCGAAGATTGTTTTGTTAAAATAGTAAAAGAATCGGTACAAGAGGTAACACAGTGCCGACAGCTACCAATTTTCGCTCAATGGGAAAGGTTCAAAGAAAAAATCAAGTATCAGGCAATTAGTATTTCATGCTAAATAGCGCAAAGAAAAAAAGCTAAAAAGCGCTATCTTTATGAATTCATAAGCTCCATACTTTTGAAAGTCAACAGCCGGGATTGTACGGGGACGAGATAAATGTGATTCGAGCACAGATACAAAAACATGATACAGATTTATACAGAGGAGCTAAGATTCGTTCCTGTGTTGCCCATTTGACTGAAGAGGAACCCACTAAAAAATCCCTCGGGGATGAAAAGAGATATGCACTTTCTAAACAGATACTGCAAATTGAGTCGCGGGGTTCCCTTTGCACAGAGACATGTGAAATAAGAGCCGCATTTGAAGATTATTACAAATGTTTGTTCACCGCGGCTGAGCTTCAGGATAATTTTGAGGAAGAAGCTAACCACTTCATTGCCCTTGTGCCTCAGTTACAAGATGATGATAGACTCCCTGTAGAGGGGCCAACAACCAGAGAGGAAATTAGATTTGCAAAAACAACGTTGCAGAAAAACAAAACTTTAGGCCCACATGGCCTTAGTGGCGAATTTTACATAGCTTTTCAGGAACTTCTGATACCTTTCCTTGAGCAACTTTTTAAAGGGGCTTATGACCGTGGTGAACTTCCTCCTTCTTTCTATCAGAGCCATACAACATTAATCCCAAAAAGTGCTGATCCTAATGCATTAAAGGGAGTTAACGAATACAGGCCTATATCGTTATGTAACGTTGACTACAAAATATTTGCTAAATTGTTGACAAATCGGCTACAGACAGTGATTACTAAATGTGTAGGTGACCACCAAACATGTGGATTTCGTGGTCGCTCTATACAGACAAACATTCACATTGCACGTTGAGTTCTTTAGTGTATAGATGGTAGCATGGACCAAGTAGCTCTCCTTCAAATAGACCTTGCAAAAGCATTTGATAACGTACAGCATGCTTTTTTGTTCCGGCTCCTAAGACACCTGCAGTTGGGTGATGTACTATACAATGGTATCTCACTGTGTTATAAGAAGTGCACAACTAAGCTAATTGTAGATCGCACACTTTCCAATATAATAGAGGTAAATTCATCTGTACGTCAGGGATGTCTGCTGTCACCTTTGCTTTTTGCAATTTATCTGGAACCACTATGTTTAAGTGTGCTTCTAAAGTCCAGCATAAGAGGCTACCGATATGATGCTGAGGAAGTTAAAGTTCTAGCTTATGCAGATGACATTGCCTTCTTTTGCGCTGATAAACCCAGCGTTCAAGAAGCAGTCAACACTACTTTACGTTTCTATGAAGTCGCTGGCGCCAGCATAAATTTTGATAAAAGTAGTGAATTCTGGCTAGGCATGTGGGCTACAACTCCTTCGGTCTTCGCAAATATTCATTGGAAAGCGACTCCTATGAAATACCTTCGTGTGCCTCTCGATAACTATCGCAACAGCGGCCCACACTGGACCGCTGCGATAACTACGATCCACCGAAAGGTGGCAACATGGCACGGACGGGAGTTTTTCATTTTTGCCAGAGCGAAAGCGTGCAATATATTCCTTGTATCGAAGCTTATTTATATTCTGCAGGTGTTGCATTGCTCTCGGGTACACATTCAAGCCTTTCATAGGATATTTGCCTGCTTTATTTGGAGCTCTTCCTGGGAACCCATGAGAAGAGACAATCTTTTTCTTCCACTCGAAAAGGGTGGCCTTGGTCTTGTGCACTTGTTCGTGTGACAGTTGGTGTTGCGATTTTTCTACCTCAAGGTTCTATTAGCGGTTCTTCGTAACCGTCTATGTTACCACCTTCCTTTTATTCATGTCACAACAACCTTTGCTAAAGAATTGCCGTTGCGGGGATTCCTAAAAGAAATCGTTGATACTGTCAGTTTTTTGAAAGCCAGGTTTACCTTAGAGTATTTGTATACTATTGACAGAACAAAGTTAACCGCTGCACTTGTGAATAATCTTTTCCCCGAACCTGTTTATCGAAAGCCATATTCGCTTCTGTCTGGTGACGATGTATTATTTTGTGTACGTAGAATGTGTATATCTCCTTCAGCGAAAACATTTTTCTTTAAACTGCACACTTCCACGCTGCCAGTGAAAACGTGGCTGAATGAAAAATCAATATACGTACCCTGGACAGTGAATTGTAGACTCTGCAACCAACCTGAGACTACAGAGCATTGTGTTATTCATTCTCGTGATGCTTTTTATTTTTGGGACATTCTAAAAAGAACATTAAGAAAAGAACTCCCAATCACAGCCCATGGTATTAGGTTCCTTCCGTTCAAAAAGAGTCTGACTGATAGTACTCCTTACGACTTGTTTATGTTGTTGGGACTTTATTCAATAAGGAAAAGTTGCATGATCGATAGACACGCCGAGCCACCACGGTCGACGAGATCTGTCTTCCGAGAAGCAGCTGCTCAAGTGCGCAGTGTTGTCGAGACTTTTGACCCCGTTCCGGAGTGGCTTCCCGTTCTTGACGCTTGTGTGTCTTTGCCTGACTTCTGATGAAGTATGTTCTGTGTACTTTACTGGTGATAATGGCATTCATTAAAGAAAAAAACAGCAGTCGTGGCCGAGTGGTTAAGGCGATGGTCTCGAAAACCATTGGGGTTTCCCCACGCGGGTTTGAATCCCGCCGACTGCGTGCATATTTTTTTCTTAGATTTACCGCTTGTCAGTGTGTTTCTAATATAGCAGGGTATGACGCCTTAGCCTGGCCTGCATAACATATTTATTTTAATTATCTTCTATAACGAAGCCATTGGGACGGATGGATGGAAACAAATTATTTGAAAGTCTTTCAATGTTTAAACATTGGCTGAGGACTTTCATGAAGGGTTCGCAAGGGCTTGCCTTGTCATCACTTGTCGGGACGGCGTGAGTGTGGAGACATGGACAGAGATGTAACACTAGCGGCCACCCTCAACCTGTGAGACACGGAAGAGAAGCTCCATCGTGTCTACTTTTATCTTGAAGACGCGGCAAGAACCTGGTTGAAGAATCGATAGTCTACCCTTTAGATCTGGGATCTCTTACGGGGCATATTCATGGGCACGTTCAGTAGCATCACCAGAAAGGAAAGAGCCGCGACATTACTGAAGACGAGGGTGCAAATACCAAAAGAATATGTGGTTATCTTCGCGGGAGAAATGAATCGAATCTTCCTTCACGCCGCCACCGAAATGCCGGAAGACAACAAAGTTCGCATGCTCATGCAAGGAGTAGACAAGAACATTTCGCCGGGATGATCAGGAATCGGCCAAAGACGGTCGCCAAATTTATTTCAGAGGCATCTACCTCAGAGAAAGCACTAGAGATGCGGACAGGGCAGTACAACCGCAATTCCTCGTCTACCAGATATCCCGCCATCCAAGTGCTAAGAACCAGCAACCTTCGTGAGAAAATCCGAGCGATCATGCAAAAAGAGCTGTGCCACTTTCTCTCTTCAGGGCAGCCTCACGTGGAATCCATCGCGGACGTCAAACGCCAGAAGATCCAGCAATTGCTGGCCGTTCCTCATCTTCCAGAGCCGCAGCAACAAGCCATGAGCTATGCTGCTGCCGCCCACCTTCACGGCCCTCCTTAACGCCCACACCAAGACGTCGCCCCGACGCACTTCCGTCGCCAGACGCCACCGCCGCCACCACAAACACCGACGTCCTACCGTTTGCCAGCGGGACAGCGCAGAGTGCCGAGGAAAATCGATGTTTCACGTGCCCCTAACAAGGACTTGCGTTGCTACCATTACAGAGAGGCCGAGCACACATAACGCCATTGCCAATACCGACAGACGGATCTACGGGGTTTCGACATCAGCCCGCCGTGTCCAAAACGGGGGGAACGACCTCATAATATTACCGAATACCTCGCAGGAGCGCAGTTGACACTCCGACGACCATATAGTTCGCCATCGCGCGGCCGCTCTACCGCGCTGCACCGTGGGCAGTACACCGGCCTTGGTCGGGGACGATCTCCCAGCCCAAACTCGGAAAACTAAGGGCAGCAACCGATAGTGGTGCGTTTGCTTTACGATGAAATACCAAAGATGCTCCGCCGTCAACGGCGATGACACCGCAAGGTATTCGAAAGAACTCGCCGCAAGACAAAAAGGTCTTAACGTCGAAC